ATGATATCAAAATTTTAATTTTATTCTTGATTAATACCAAACTTATGTATAAGGAATATATTAAATCGCGTAAAAAACCTAATATTCATAATAAATCTATACATGAAAAAACATATTGAATAGAAGAATCTTACGTTTTAGAAATATGTGGGTTAAATAAAAAAATTTATTTTATTTATTATCATTTAATTTTAAATTAAATTTATATTAAAACCACGTACTCAATTATCCTATTCCTTAATTCTTGTAAATTGACCCAAATGATGAGGTTCGAATTCTTCAACTGTCTACCTTATGTTAAAGTCTTGAGATTTACGCTAGATTTTACCCAAAAAAAAAAGGTCCTGCAATTTGTAAACATCATTATTAAGTCACTCTTGTAACAAATGGAATGGTTACTTGAATTGTACTTGTGTGAAATCTTCTCCGCCATAAACTTCTTTTACAGGAAAAAATTAGCGCCTCACATCAATTCCTGTCCGGGCCGCCGCTGGACCCCTCTCGGAATAATTACGGTGTTATCGTGGAATCCGAATATCAAAGGCCCACAGCTCAATTATATCAAACACTGGACCCCTACTAATGTGAACTCAAGACCTGCACCATGCTCAACAATATATCATGAATCATAGAACCCAAGCCCAAACCAATTGGATTAATCCACCAATTGGGTTTGAATCCTTTTCTCTCCCCACCAAAATCCCCCGCAAACCCCAAAAAAAATTTAAAAATAAATAGAAAAATAAAAATAAAAATAAAAGAGAGAGAGAGAGAGTCCATCTGGGTTGGTTATGTTATCAATTTCAAATACATCTTGATGGAGACAAAATATAAACCAAAGTCATAAAATTTAGTCTACTAGTTAACACTATCACAACTTGATGTAGTGCAAGAATCTGGCACTGGTAGTGATTTAGTACCAGAATCTGACATTGGCAGTGCTGCTCTTGGAGGAGAAGAAAGGAGAGGCTTGGGTGGAATTGGTAAAGCTTCTACACTTCCTTCCAACATCTCAATCACCTTATTTATTGATGGTCTATCAGAAGGTTTTGTTTGAATGCACCAGAGACCCACTAATATCATCTTCTTTTCAGTATCAGTTTCTGCTTTGGAGCTCAAACCTTCCAACTCATGTTCATCAACCAGTTCTAGATGTCTGTAGATCCAATCAGGAAAATACTCACTACTAACATTTACCCCTATTTGAATGCTCTTCTTTCCTCCAACCATTTCAAGAATCATCATTCCATAGCTATAGATGTCAGATTTGTGTGAAACAGCTCCAAAGTTTCTACTAAAGACTTCTGGAGCTATATACCCAGCTGTCCCTCTAGGCCCCATCATTGACACAATACTGTCTTTTCTGGTGCATAATTTGGACAGCCCGAAATCAGAGATCTTTGGGCAAAACTCTTCATCAAGAAGAATGTTGTGAGGCTTTATGTCCAAATGTAAAATCCTTGTGGCGCATCCACGGTGTAAGTACTCAAGCCCTCGTGCTATTCCAACTGCAATACTATACAATTTTTCCCATCCCAAGTGCTGACTTTCCTCCGAAGTGCTTTCATTGAAGATGAACTTTTCTAGAGATCCATTTGGCATATACTCATAGATCAATGCTCTTTTTTCACCCTCTAAACAAAATCCAAGAAGCGAAACAATATTGACATGGGAAGTTCTACTAATGCTTGCAACTTCATTGATAAATTCTTCACCATTTTCCTTGGATGCATTTAGGACCTTCACAGCTACAAGACGACCATCTGGTAGTTTCCCTTTGTATACATCTCCATAGCCACCTTTGCCTAGCTTTTCTTTAAATGAATTGGTAATTTTCTTGATATATGAGAAGTTGTATCTTTTGGGAGCTAAAATTCCATAATTTCTAATGAAAGCCTCAGTAGCATGGTCTCGTTTTGTTACCTTACTAAAAATTCCCACCTTTTTCCTAAAAATTCCCACCTTTTTCCTAAAAATTCCCTTCCTTTTCCTAAAAATTTCCATTGCTTCCTTCCTGAAAACAAATGCAATGACGAAAGCTAGCAATACTCCAACTCCTGCTGTACCAATAGCTGTTAACAAAACCGTAAGATTATCAAGAAAAAATCGAAGTGCATATGCTTTTCTCCAAGAATACATATAGCAAAATTATGCTTTTAGACTACGAATAATTAAGACAACTTTGTGATCAATACCCACATACAAGGATCATTACTAACTT